AAAAAAAAAAAAAAAAAAAAGAAAAGAAGTTTGAGAACCGCTGATTAATTCAGACCATCGACACTAATCGAAAATAATAAACGGCAGAGATAATGACAATGGGATTGCTTTTTTTTTCGTCAATGATCCATGACGCCTGGTCCAGTTAATGACGCTGTTAGATGAGCTTCGTGTTACAAACCAGGTCTATAAGCCAGCAAACGGTTAATCGGGGTAAAGTACCCCAAAAATGGGTTAACAGGGTAAATCTTAGGGATAATGTGTATGAGGGCTCAATTGGCTTAAATAAAAGTAAAAAATACAAACAAACAAAAAAACGCGTTTCATATGCCAGACATCTTTTTTTCTGGCAACCTAAATCTGGCCAGCATAACATAGAAACGCTAATGGCTACTAGTGGATAGTTTAGCGACGAACTTTTAAAAATTATAATGTAGTCATGTGTGGTAAAAAAAAGGGGGGGGGGGTGGTTGTCGAGTGCAAGATCAAGGTCATAAAAAATTACCGAGATGTCATCGCTCAAAGGAGTTATCTCCAAAGTTTGTTTGAGATTATATTATAGAGAAGGCAAATAAAATTACAGAAAGAAAGCGAGATAACTAGCAATGCTTACAGGGTTATGAAATTATTTGCAGTCGCCTCCCCAATCCACTAACATCGTTGACAAAGATGAACGCAGTGGTTGACAATACGTGGCTCCCTAAACGCATAAGGCTCTTTAAAGATAGATACGGATCTTTAAAAACAACAACAACAAAAAAAAAACAAACAAAGCAAAACTTTACTGGGATCTAAACACGTCTGCTCACCGCCAATAAAATAGTTCAGATATAATGTATAAAAAGTTTTTCCAACATCTGTGTTAACCAACGAAACAAAATCGACGAGATAAGGGGAAAAACATTGATCAAAGGCAGTAGTTTTTTTGTGCATCAAAAACCAAATTTATATTGTTTCGCCAAATAAGTCAATTAGTCAAGATTACTTTTCTAACCTATCACCCAGCCAAAATCTTGTAAATGTTCAATAGCTGTGTTAGCCTATCAATCAATCAATCGTGATAGCCTACAAATCAATCGTATTACCCCTTCAATCAATCGTGATAGCCTAGCAATCATTTGCGATAGCCACAAATCAATCGTGATAGCCTATGAATCAATCGCGTTAGCCTCTTAATCAGTCACGTTTGCTTATCAATCAATCGTGTTAGCTTATCAATCAATCGTGTTAGCCTATCAATCAATCGTGTAGCCTATCAATCAATCGTGTTATCCTATCAATCAATCGTGTTAGCCTATCAATCAATCGTGTTAGCCTATCAATCAATTGTGTTAGCCTATCAATCAATTGTGTTACCCTATCAATCAATCATGTTAGCCTATCAATCAATTGTGTTAGCCTATCAATCAATTGTGTTAGCATATCAAATAAATGGTGTTAGCCTATCAAATCAATCGTGTTAGCAAATCAATCAATCGTGTTAGCCTATCAATCAATTGTGTTAGCCTATCAAAATAAATGGTGTTAGCCTATCAATCAATCGTGTTAGCCTATCAATCAATTGTGTTAGCCTACCAATCAATCGTGTTATCCTATCTATCAATTGTGTTAGCCTATTAAATAAATGGTTTTAGCCTATCAATCAATTGTGTTAGCCTATCAATCAATTGTGTTAGCCTATCAAATAAATGGTGTTAGCCTATCAAATCAATCGTGTTAGCCTACCAATCAATCGTGTTAGCCTACCAATCAATCGTGTTAGCCTATCAAATCAATCGTGTTAGCCTATCAATCAGTCGTGTTAGCCTATCAATTAATCGTTTAAGCCTATCAATCAATCGTGTTAGACTATCAATCAATCGGGTTGGCCTATCAATCAATCTTGTTAGCCTATCAATCAATCTTGTTAGCCTATCAATCAATCGTGTTAGCCCATCAATCAATCCCAGTATCTTATCAATCAATTGCTTTAGCCTATCAAATCAATCGTGTTAGCCTATCAATCAATCGTGTTAGCCTATCAATCAATCGTGTTAGCCTATCAATCAATCGTGTCAGCCTATCAGGTAAAAAAACCAAAGGCTGGGATGTCGGGCAAAATTTTTTACACATTAAAAACAGTTTAATGAAAAGCAAACATTGATTTGTTGAAAGCATTGTATATTTATAAACATAATTCTCCCTAGCCCCCCCCCCCCTTTTTCCACCCCCAAGCGTCGTTCCTGGCATTCATTCAACAACAAACAACAGGCATTGAAATAATTCGGTCAAAGCTTCATTGAGATTGAGGAGAATTAAAAAAAAAACCAACAAAACCAGTGATCTTTTCGGCCAACAGCCTGCTTCCTAGTCTTAATAACGTCCCCCATCTTCTAGATGGAGACCAGGATGACCACCCCCTTGATAAATGACCACACCATTAACACCGAAACAG